ACTCTGGACTTAGTTTTGGACTTTGGCACGTTATAGAAGTTTAATCATCTATATTTGAGATTTAGTACTCTAAAAGTTTAGTTTTACTTGTCTATTTATTGACATATAACATTTTTTCAGTTATCATTTTCCAGGGGTGAATACAGTTTAACAAAGTTACTCCAAACTACAACATCTCTTATAGTTTAGAACTTTTTTAATTGCATTTTGTTTTTAATTTATCAGCACCATAGAAATCACAATTCACTGCCCTCTCAAATTTATTTCCTTTAAAATTTATATATATATTTCTTTTTGGGGGGGGTCGTACTAGTATGACCTCCACTAATATTAGAGTACATTCATGTATCCTGAATCATCACTGCTTTGTTACTGCTGCATGCATAGTCCTTTAGATAGCATTTGTCTTCTTCACACATTTTATCACGGTATATTTTCTAAAATGCTATTTACCTTTGAGATTTTTCCTAGTTTTGTTAACAAAAAAAGAAATATTTTGCAATATACTTTTTAGGATTACATTTTGCACAATATTAGAAAGCTGTCCAAAAAAATAAGACTTTTTTAGTGATCAAAAATGTGATAAATATCTGAAGAGATATATCACGTAATAGAAATATTTTTGCGATAAAATTATTCTTAATGACTTAATAACTCCAGTAATTATTACTGACAGAAATTGACAAATATATCTTTTTTACAATTGGAATTAGATTACTTTATTATAAAATTATAATTATATAAATATACTAGAATTTCTTATATTACTAGAAATGTATTTTAATATGTTTGTCTTCTATATTAATATATGGAAGAATATTCTATATATATTTATATATTTAAAATGTTTGTTTTCGATTATTGTATTCTATATTAAAGGCAGAATTAACCAATATGTACAGTAAGATCATAAAGCAAATTTATTGTGGGCCAAGGATCAAGCTTCAAATCAGGTGTACGGGTATCCATTTGGCTTGTGCAATCGGTTTTAGAGTGATGAAACTTGAAGGCACAAGGACTTTTTGGAGGGTAGCCTTAGATATTCCTAACCCTTTCACAACCAAAAGAGTTAATCAAAATGAAAGGACAACAGAAGGGTTAAACAGATAAAGATAATATCTGGGAGGTAAGTTTTGGATCTTAAATCATTCTACAGAATATTTTATTTCTTAGTTTTGTTTGTTTGCTTTTTATTACTTCGTGATGTAGAAGAATGAGGAGTTTTATACAGTATTTGATTTGTTTTTACCTTGCTTTAGAAGTAAATATTAGCGGTTACTTGGAACAGAAAGTAACATTTTTATTTTGTTTTATATTTCTACTCTTCGGGTTTTGCCTGTGGTTCTTTTATTAATGGTTTGGCTAGCTGTAAAATGAAGCCAAACGGTTATTAACATTAAGTCACGTAAAATATTTTTAAAAGCTGAATGCGACATTTGAACAATGCAAAGGAAATACGTGTTTTGAAGACATAGTAATAAAATATTGCTACTTACACACTGTTTCATATTTCTTTAACCAGTTTAATTGAAGACTTCCAAGATTTGGTTTTATGTCAGAGAACTTGCACAGCGATAAATTATAAAGCAGCTTTGATGTTCTCAGCGGAATCAAAATATGAATATATGAGCAGTATTATAGAAAGGGTATTGCTCCTGAGACATCCTGCTCTGCAGGGGTGGCAGTCTGGAGTGACACAGCTTCAAGCATTTTTCACAAGCAAGAATCAAAATTAACCCTCTTAGAGGGAAGTATTATTTCAACAGCTTGCTCAAAGCTCATTTGTAATTTCATGTGTTTCCTTATTATTTTTGTAATTTAAAATAAATTGGTACATTGTATATCAAACACAAAAGCTTTTATTCTACAGTATTTAACTGACATGCTTGAAGGTAAAAGCCTAGAGTTGTATAAATTAAAAATGTGTTGGTAATGAAGACTGAACATATGCCAAAGGCCATTGACTTCTGGAAAAGGTAAGTGGCAAGGATATTAACCAATATCCTTGGATGTATTAACCAAGAAATGTTTTATATTCATCAGATTTTTTACAAGTGTTATAAGTCATCATTTTGTTGAGTTTTTTGATTTTACAAATATGATGGGGACGTCAGAGATGACAATAAGTACACTTCAATTCATTCCTTAAAATCTCATTATATATTGTGAATTTCTTATTGAAAGTGGGTACCCTATTTCTGGAGAACTTTTATCTGTTTTTCAGCAATGGTATACGAGTTCAATGAATGTTCTTTGTACCTGGCTGACGGATCGCATGGACATTCAGCTTCATATTTACCAGCTAAAGACACTTATTAGGATTGTCAAGGTAAATTAATCCAGTGTTAATAATGTTATGCAATATAGCATTGTAGACATTTTATATTTAGGTATTTTTTTTTATATAAAACCTGTTAATCACAATATATTTTCCATTTTCATTAATGTTCATCAGAAATTGAATGCATGTTTTTTTCTGTTATCTTTTCACATTGTATTTATATCAACTGTCATGATATTACATATCAAAAAATCTCATTTGTATGTTGCCATTAAGCATGGACATTTTGATAAGTTTTTATTTTTATTAAAAAAAAAAAAATTATGAATACAAAAGTCAGAATTATTATTCCCATTATTTTGTTATACTTTATAAAGGAGGTTAAAAATTTTGCTATTTTTTGTGGTTTTTTTTACTTGTTTCTAAAAAAAAAAAACTAAAGAAATACTAGATATTTGATTAATATAAAATGTGTAGCGTTTTTGTATTTTACTGATATTGGTATTTTTTAATTGTCTGAAGAGCACAGTCAACCATAAAAAATTATGCTTACGTATCTGGTTGCGATGCAAATATTTCTGCACAGCATGGTATAATGTATTCTTTGATCATTAACCAAAATGCAAATTGATATTGTTCTTACAATTAACTCAAGTAGTTTCTCTTACAATGGGTGTTTACACTGAACTATAAGAGATCACATAGGTGAGATAACATGCCCGGAAAGTTTTTTTTTTTTTTATTATTATTATTCCTGTCTATGTGTGTCTTGGACAAATGATAATTATTTCAGTGTGAAATCACAGTGAGCTACATGGAATAAGATTGTTAGAAGAGTCAAGATAATTTGGTGATGTTAGTTAATGCAAAATATATGCTTTGTTACTCGTAAGTAGTAATTTTGAGTCACTATTAAATTAGCAGTAAGTGGCTAGTGCTTCTTGCTCAATTAATGTTTAACTATTATGTACATTGTATACAATTTACTAATTCCTTCAATATATATAAACATAAAGTATGTAATTAGTAAATCATACGTACTTTAGGTTGAAGAATACTGAGATTTAAAAAAAAAAAAAAAACAGAATAAGTGAAAATATTAACCAGGTGTAATGACACATACATTATGTTATGGGTATTATGATCAGAATTCTAACTACGTCAATGAATTATTATTTTTTTAGATGTTATCCGAAGACTAATAATAGTCTATTCTTTTTCATCACTAAATATAAATCTGTTGAAGTGGGCTGTAGGATGAATTGTACATATTGTCTAACTTTATTACGACATAAATCTTAATCACAGCCAATTTCACAATGTTTTCTTATCAATTAGATATATCTCATTTCAGTGACTTAAAGATACTGGCAAAGCGATGCTTGGGCAAATTAATTGTTGAAATTAATAAGAGATGTAAAATGTATGGGTCGATTCACTTTATAGCTTGTAAAATTATTGTCATATTACATAGATCACATTATACCGTTTAGCTTTAGTTTATCCAATTTGTATTTTATCTTAAGTTTTTCAGGTTTAATATCAGGTCACTAGAGCTTGCTGTTTAGCAAATAAACTGCACTAAATTGAGAATTGCTGAGAATTTAAAGTACATTCAAAGTGAATTTCACATTTTAGGCAAAAGTGAAGTCCTGTAATGCAAGCAGGTTATTTTCTTTAATGCATTCTTATAGAGTATTAATAATCAGCCTATATTGGATTTTAATTGAGACATTTTGGATATAGTGTCTGGAGTCCTTTTAAAGTTTTAATGATAAACGAGAGTCCCTATCAGTCCATGCCCTCTGTGCTGCTTATGCTAATGAGGAGCAGTAGCCTGAACAGCAACAGGTAGTTGGGATTGGCTGAGAGCATCAGCTGAATGCTTTCAACCTATCACAGTGCCCTTTGCTTTTATGCATTGATATAGCTAGAAGAAAGTGTGTTATCTGTATCCTATCCATACTGCCAAAGTGGGTGGCTACGGACCCTTAGTATTAAACTGATAGAAAGGCTTAACACTAAATGCAGGGACAGAGGATTCCAATCACTATACACAATTCAATCAGGTGAATCAGATGGTTATAGTACCTACAGTGTACCTTTAACAATGACAGTTAAAAAAAAAAAAATTCAACACTTTGATGATATTTTAGCGCAATTCTATTAATAAAAGTAGCATTTCATTTTCAAGGTCTTAAAGTCATATATTATAATGAAGGGTGCAACTAACCCCAGGGCTGGATTTAAAATGGAAATATTTATAGAGGCTGATTTCTCATACCCTACCTCTAGCAATACCGCTCCCAAAAATGTTGTTCTCTGTTTTTTGTTCAATGATTCAGAGGACACACAAGAAATTTGGAAACACACCTTCAATTACCATTAATATCCATGAAAAAGTATAATCAAATATATTCTCACATGGAGAAAATACACATTTGCATGTATTGGGCTTTTAATGTGTGATAGTCTTCCTCTATCAATAATTAGAATAGGCAAGCTAGAAAATGTACAGACACCAGTATGTTTTTGAGAGACCCCTGTACAGTACATTTCGTCTATAGGTTTTATAAAATGTGTACAGCAGGAAGTAAGCGTTCACGGACCAAAGCAATAAAAAACACTTATACATCATTACCAAGTGTATCATCTGTATCCTTTACATGGGGTACTGCAGGGCTCCTGAGAACAGAATTGGTTAAGATGTCTCAGCCGAATCTTGGTCTTACTGATGTCACTGTACAAGATCCACAGAAATAGCATCAAACCTGGGTAAAGATTCCATTTAAGTCTGGAGTCTGCCTTTAACCTAGTCTGAATGTGTCCTCCTTCTCACTTTGTACTTGAGGAAGTAACGTATAGAAGGCAGGAGGATAAATAGAGAAAGATAACAGTTTGGATCATATTTTAACTTTAAAGGCCAAATGTCACAAAAACATCACCTCAAAAAAAAAAAATGCAAACAAGCATTTCATTGCAGGGACTTAAATAGATTATTACTATAACATAACACTGTAAAAATAGTTATTTTGCAATGAAAATGGTGTGGGGAAAAAAGTCTTGAAAGCCTCTCTCTCACCATTAATGTATCAAGTAATAATTTTCACCCCATTTTTTTTTAGCTTCTAATTGGATTAGTATCATGAGGGGGATGGCTACAGTGAATTGACAATCAAGTGTGCAAAATGTTGTACATAATAACAGAGAGAGGAAATGTAAAGCTTGTATAGTTTTTGCATTGGCTAGTTTGCCATAAAACGTGCAACGCATTTGTCCATTTACCAAGACTTAATGAATAAATCCCTATAAAAAGGCACATTAAGGCTACCCATCACATTTGAGAAATCTAGAAATTAGCTTCAAATAAATTACCATTTAATAATATTATGTTTTGCCCTTGCCATGATGATGTTATCAGTATTCCTATAAATACATTTGTTTTTGGTCTGTTTTCAGAAAAAATACAGGGATTTCCGATTGCAAGGCGTACTGGACTCCACTTTAAACAGCAAGACATATGACGCAATCAAAACCAGGCTAGGTGTAGAGGAGAGTGTAGCTTCAATCAGCGAAGGAGGTGGCTTGCAAGGAATTACCATGAAAGACAGCGATGAGGAAAATGAAGATAACAATTAATTTATTTTGGTTTTAGAGGCCCTTTTGGATGTAGCCTGGTACCCAGTGCATGTCTGTTATGTTAAACCATACTAGGGACTTTTCCGTCAGCTCCAAATGCCCATAAGAACTTTACCAATAGAAATCTCATTCTAGCTGTGTGATAAATAACAAATACACACCTACATTTGGTTCATGGGATTCCCAAATTTCAAATCTATATATGTTCATAAGCAATATAGAGCACCATTGTTTAAATACTGTTAATTGAATTATAATGAAAACATGCTAGGTGTCTCCCTTTCCTCGGCAAAAAGTAAACAATGCTTCATCAGTACTGTAATGTATATACGTTGATGGTAAATTGTTGTGAAAATTAAGTGACCTCTAGTAATTTCATTTATGTTGCATCAGTAGCAGCTTATCAAATGAATTATAAAAAAAAAAAAAGGCTTTCTTTTTAAAGACAAGTAAGGCTACACCCAATGAGGTTCATCATTAACAAAACTAAGAGAGACAACAACAGAAACAACCGATTTCTTTTCATTCTGAATTCTTGTTTATACAACCATCATGATATATTTTCAACATTCCGTTAGTTGAGTAGAGGTTACATGTCCGTGGAATAGTATTCTGAAACCACACAAGTTTACCTTTGCCATAATAGAATACATCTAAACAGGACCACCCTCCAAGCCAGCTTTATGTTAAAGTCTTCTTTATCAATGTTATGTTCTGTTTAGGTTTTAATAAAAGTGTATGTAAAGAAAAAAATTAAATAAAAAGAAAGACAACTTTAATAACAAACTTAGACTATAAACTGTGTTTATAATATTATACAGTACTTATTTCCGTAGATTGTAGCCTTGATTTACATTGCATTATGTTGAACAATTCTTTTTATATTTGCCATGTACATTGCATTTTATCCAGTAATTGCATGTCACCAGGGTCCCTCAAGAAGCTTTTTTTTCTCTGTGTAAAATAGTGGATCCATCTTGCTTTTGCCTTACAAAAGCCTACAGTTGTAAAAGTGTGAACACTGTGGCTTCTCAATAAATAACTATTCAGATGTCTTACAAATCAATCATTTGTTTGTTGCATTGCTGTGGGGATGAGTGTCTCTTTAAATTAATAGTGAAGTCTCATGATAAGTAACTAACATGTTAAAATCATTGTTAATACCAACATGCAAGGGCAGTTCCAGAGCCTGATTTTGGAGGGGCAATCCTGAATTTGTGTCAGATTTTATCTTTAGAAACATTTGTATAAACACAGATAGACAAACTTGCAAACATAGATACAGTGACAAATACTACATCTACACCCACACAAACAAATTCAAAGGATAAACATACCTGCACCCACACACAGACAATGACACAGACAATGACACAGACATATACAACCACACAAAGGTAGACACACAAATTTGTATTACTGTTCTCAGCTTCTCGGTGTGAAGTGTTTGCCCTAATTCTTTCATCTTTGATCATCTAATGCCTCCATGTTCATAGACAAAGCCTGGGATTAACCCAGGTTGTCTGTGATATAGAATACATATTTATAACAATGACCACAGTGATTGAAAAAAAGTCATGACCACTGATGTACCGAATGCCTGACACACTTGCTCTGATTCTTTTCATATTGTCTATTGTTATCTGCTTGTCTTACTTGTAAAGGTTATTACAATAGTAATACTGATTTAGAATGCTGTCCGCATTATATCAAGTAGACAATGTTTTGTCCAATGTCTATGATATCATAATACAGATTAAGGGATACCATAATGATATAAATGAGTCGTCACCCAAAAAAAAGGCAATAAAATGAGATTATGCAAACTTTTTGCCAAACAAGAAAACTAAGCTGAAAAAACTGACTACAAGGAAAAAAAACAAATAATACATAAAGAGTGAACAAATACAAAGTGTGAATAATTTCCACATGCCCTCTTATTTCTTTACCCATGAGGCAGTGGGATAGTAAATTTGCACCTCAGTGCTTCAAAATAAAAAGTTCAATCTGATGTTTCCACAAGAAAGTCATACAATAAAAGTCAGATTTTTTTTCTACCTGTATGTTTATGTTTTAAAAATATTTGTGGGCATGTATGACACATAGACGTACTGTTTATTGTCTAGGTTACATTTCCCCTTCCTTATAGTAATTTGTATAGCCATTGTAATATATCACAAAATTCCATTTCATGAAGTCATGTAATTCTAACCAGGAGTTCTGGAGACAAAACAGCGTCACAATGATGTAGAAAGCAATTTTTTGTAACTGTATACCTACCGAGGGGGTAATCTACTCTATGTTATTAAATAAAGTCATCAGTGTGACAAAGCACATTGTAATTTTAGTTCCTCAAATGACAGCAGTAATTATGATGTTCATTATTGTGAAAAAGGAGAAATTACTTTAAAGCTAATTTTGTGAGCAAGCAATATATATTTGAGAAGCTATATATGATGCAGAATATAGCACACTCATGCAAATGTAATGGGGAGTAAGCCTGCCTGTACCCAATTTTGTAATTTTTCTGTGGCTCTCTGCAGTAAGGGGACACAAAAATCACTGTTTGGTATACCCCCCAAAAAATTATGTATTTTTTTTTATTGAAGAATATGCAAACCCTCCACTTTTCACCCCACTCAGGCTTTCTGTGGCTCTTCAATCACAGACTTCTCAAAGCAGCGCAATGAGAAGTCTTTGCAAGGCATGTACTCTGGGCAATTACCTGCCTCTTGAATTTATCTCCACTGAGCTAACCAAACCAGGAAGTAACATGACCTGTTATCTGATTGACAGCCAAATGAGTGTAACAAGTTTAATTTATAAAAGTGCCAATTCTATTGAAACATGCACTCTTTGTAAAAAAAATTTTTTAAAAAAGGACACACCTGGAATATATCGGTGGCTGAAGTCCTCTCAGTGGTAGAATCAAAAGAAGGAAAAAAAAATATATAGTGCAAATAAATGATTATCTACTTACTGGCTTACAGCAAAAATAATGGTTTTGCTTAATCCATAATGCTTGTGTGCTACATTCCCCACCCCAGAATATAATGTCCAGACAACAGTAGTATAAAGCAGGATAGTCCAGGAATAGTAAAAAGTATCTATCTTTAATAATTTTCTTATCTTTTAATTAATACAAAGTTTAAAAATATAACGCTGATGTGTTTCACCACTAATAGGGCTTTTACAAGTTGTTACAGTGACCTGAATTGCTTGTATAGCAAAAGACAAATTAAAATGTCACGGTAAAATTAGGTCATTATCGCTCAAACAGAAACAAAGATGATGTTGTAAACATCTTATTGACACTGGCAGTAGTAGTAATATAGAATAACAAAACTTGTTTGGTAAGAGAATTATAAACAGTATTGGAGAAAAGCTACTCAGGAAGAAGAAAAAAAGGTTTACCAAGATGGTGCTACGACATAGGTCAAGTGACCAAAGGACAGCAATTTAAATGCTGATAAAGAATGATAAAGAAGGGCCAAACATTTCTGATGGCAGCGCTGTGCACATACACATTGTTGGGAGTCTGTTTCATCACTAAGCTGCTACTTTCAAGGAGAGATTGATGGTGAGTGGCCACTGAACCAATATGGTCACCAACGCTACAGACTGGATCTATAGGAAAGCTTTGTTCTTGTCAGGGTGGTGGAAGGGGTATGTGTATGGTCAATTGGTAAATCAGTTGGATGGTTGCATTATTTATTGCAGTGTTGCACTGAGGTTCAGAACAATTTTACATTCAATATTTTGTTTCTGCTAACTACAAAGACCGACAGGGGATCATGGAAAACGTAGTTTCACAACTGTAGAGCACCTGTTGGCCTTGATTGCAAATGTGATACATTTATTTGAAACCATCACTACTTCTTTATTATTGCAAAAGAAAAACAATCTAAACAGATTAGCTGTTTTAAGAAATTCATAATTTCTCTCCGACATTTATACTGCACAATATGCAGACTGTTGCACCGACACATAGTTACACTCGTATAACCTACAGATGGTATTACACAGAATACTTCACACATACTATAACACATACAAGTGTTAGACTGGTCTGCAAATTTTGGTGGGCGCATCAAGCTATTGATAGAATCTACAAAATAAACAGAGTTTGCACACTTGCTTATCTAATCCGTAGTCCTGGTGGCAATCAGACAGAAAGCTACGCTTGCCTTTCCAAATTCTACTTTTGTTTGACTCTACGCCAGCAACACATTGATATCAACATATCTTCTTAAAGTTTAAGTAAGTCTGGGTGTATATGAATCCAAATGTATTCATGGTTATATCTTTACATTAATATTAAGTGTCATGTTTGTTTAAGTTTCCATATATGCCTCCAAAGATCATGTAATACATAAAAAGAGTATTAGAATAAGGATCATAGAAAAGAGCCACACAGAAACATATTATGTACTCAAGATACTCCTAGGCAAAAATGCAACATGCAAACCTAAATCTAGAGGTTAAAATTAAAGGGAATGAAACAACTTTGTAGGTGGACATAGATGAGGCTTGTTTGAAAGTAAACAGGATATGAGATTAAGTTAGTGCCAAATGGAGTGAACTGCTTAACTACTCCCATGACTTTATCAACTAGCCCTCTGGTTTGATAAAGTCTTATTGAATAATGAAATCTGTCTCTTTATTTAGATTCTGGCATCATTTGGCATGCCTTGTATATGTGCAAAAAAAGAAGCATTAGAGCCGGAGACATTTGGGTGGAATGCCTATATTACCCTTGGCTTTGAATTTAATGATTAATATTGAGACTTAGAACAACCATATGAAAACTGTAAAATGTAGGTGGCATTATTGAGCCATTGTAATAAAGAAATTAAGATGAATAATAAATGTACTGAATGCGCAAAAAAATAATTTGAATTGTATTATTTTTGGAAGTTAAAAGAAGAGGAAAATGCTGAACAGATTAAGAAAGAAAATGGGATGGGAAACTGAATACTGCAAAACAGGAACAACTCTTGAAATTATGACATCCACACAGTACGTTATATAGTACTATTTGAAAATAGAATGCAGGTGAGCCATCCAACACAAAAAGCTGCAGATACAAGCATTGAATGAATTGTTGATTAAGTTCAAAGACTACAAGCCTGAATATCTCTCAATGATGTTACAATCAAAAAGGTCTAAGATGAAGAATCCAGTAGGGGAGACGTAGGTTTCTTCCTTGTTACAATATATAATAAAGATACAAAAACACCTGTGTGCAGGTAGATAACACACTTAGTGGGTAATATATATAAAAATAAAAAAATTACCCTTAGTCAAAAGTGAAGTAGATGAAAGGACTCCTCTTATGTCCTTAGAACAATATTGATATACTACCAGAAGGCAATCTACAACACAAAATAATAGAAACGGACATAGAATAGTAACGTAGTGTATTGGGAATTTGTAGAAATAAATGATTACACTCACAGACCCAATTTGATTGCAGGCATATCATAGATAACGATGTATGAACTTCTCGATTTGTGGAACGTCAATCCCATGTATAAGAGGAAGAATAGAAAATAATAATAGTGCAGAGTATCTTAAATAAAATTAACAAAATTTATTACAAGGTACACTTACAAGAAAGATGTATCAAAAAGGCACATCAAACTCAGCTGAAGCTGCAAACCAGTCCCAGGATCAGAAGAGCAGAAAAACCAAATAAGATAAAATACATTTAAACATCTATAAAAACAAAGACTCCGCATATAAGAAACAAGCCCTACGCGTTTCGTTCATAAAATGAACTTCATCAGGGGCATCCAGTCCTCTGTAAACAAAAATACATAAAACACTCGTCTTTTATAACTACAATCAAATTTGCCGCGAAGAAAATCAGCTGTGCGTGTTACTTCCGGGTTTCGGCTTCGGTGTATTTCCGGATACGCCCCTATTGCGTTCCGGAACTTCTGTCCAAGCCTCACTTTGAAGTTCATCTAGTTAAACGGAAGTCAAGACGAATGTGCGTTCCATTTTGCGTTCCATTCTCGGGGTTAGACACATACATCCCCAGAGCACATCGTTATATAAAGAAAACGAAATAAACATATGTGTGATCATATATACAAATATATAGAGAAGTGGGGAGTATATCACCTAATTTAGAAAAAGGGGAATAATACATACTCATAATAAAAATAAATGACAAAAATAATCAAATAAAAATAAAAATAAAAATAAAAATAGAATAAAAATAAAAATAAAAATAAAATAAAATAAAATAGATAAATAAAAAATAAATAAAAATGAAATAAAAATACAA